CTCTTTCCTGGTGTAAACAAAAATTGAATATCAACATTGTTTAGATCAGCTACAAGCAATATCAGAAATCTTAACATTGGTATCGGGCAGAAATTTTAATATTGTGCATCACTACTATTTATCAAAAAATTTTGTCCATGTGTGATGACAATCTAAAAATATTCAGACAGCTGTGATGGAGTTCAGGACTGAGGACAGCTGCTGTGTATCAAATGATTCAACTGCAGCTGATGAACTGTGACTCTGTGTGTGCAGATTGAGCTGCCTGAAGTGAACAAAAGAACAGAAATGGAAGACTATTAGTTTTTCTGTTCATCTTAGTAAAGCTTCATGTTTGTGGATATTTTAGTTTGAAATAAATGTGAAATTTACAAGTAAAGGTGTGGTTTTGCAAACTGTATTCTCTGTGTTTTTAACGTGTCAGCTCTGAAACACAACCCAAAGTATGTCACTTGTGCACCTTGTTCAGACTTCAGCCATGTTAAAATTGATCCACAAATTTTGCTAGTTCCAACCTGATAAGATTGCCATCATAACTTTACAGAAATGTGACAAGGGTGTTCATTCAAATTGAAAGTAAACACGTTTAAATGCTGCCAGGAAAGGAGTGCACATCCTAATGGAACTTAAGTGAAATCTTAATGCTTAACACTCAGAGTAATCTTTTAAGTTTTAATAAAACATTATTCAACAAAGACTCTAATTACAAAAAGTAATGACAAGCAGAGCAATGCGTGCAACTGGTAATGAATGAATAGTGTGTCACCAAACAGTTGTACAAGATTTAAGCACAAAATACATTCAAAAACTGGTCAATTACTTTTTTAAAAAATTAATAAACATGACTGTAAATGTGAAAAGACATCTGATGCCAGTTTAAAGTGTTTCTGATATTTAGTGCTACAGACATATTATGTCAGTATCAGATGTGTGGAGTTAAATGTGACAAATGAACTGAACACTAATTAAACATTCTTTGTATAGTTTTGGAAAAGATTTATCCTAGCTTTCTCCACTAACATTAATAATTGGGAAGTGACGTTTTTTAATTGTCATTTTCATTTATCAGATAAATAATTTCAAAGTAGGACTAGAATAGTTCTAGGAAGAAAGAGGAATGTTAACGGAATAAAGATATCTATTTTGTGATGACAACTGGTTTAGATGGGCATGAAGTGGCGTGGCATGTGCCCTGTCTGTGAGGACGCATCGTCTGTCAGACAGAAAGACAAGGGCACTGCCAGGATGCTCCCCCATTAAATTACAGGCCTGAGATGATAAGCCATGCATGTTTATACTCTAAATCTAGTACTGCCAGTAAATTATAGTACAACAGCTGTATTTATAAACACTATGGTTGTATTTAAGCCCTCCAGAAGCATGGTTAAAGGAGTGACAGCTATATGAGAGATGCTGCAACGGTCCAACACGAGCCACATTTACATAGTGAAGCTGACCATGACTTTCAGGATTCAGGATTAGCTCAAAGTGTTTACAGCAGAAGATCCAAAGCACTGCTTAATCTTTTAAAAGTATAGCTGAGTCAGCAGGCAAACTATGACGGTAAGCTACAAGACGCCAAAAAAGGAAAATGTTGTTTATGAGGAAATTGTGTGACATAAATAATAAGTAAGCCCTGTTCAGCCCTACAGTGGAAACCTGGCAGTTGGTCGCTTCCTCTTGTACTTATCAAGACTGCCCAGCAGACTCTGGCCATGACGCCAAAAGGTCATAGTTACTGGCATTATCGCGCTATGACTCCATCCTTGCACAAAAACAAGAGGAGGCTGGGGTGATAACAGAGGACAGAGCAACAAAGTTAAAAAATAGAAACAAGCGTCGGCTTCCTGGCATTAGGAGACAGATGATGATGTATGCTTGGATGCAAAGAAAAACACAAGGATACCTTCACGGACAGATATAATTAGCTGAGCAAACACGCTGAGACTGAAGGAGCAGCAAGACTGAAAATGAAAGGGAAGGGAGATGGTTTGCCAAAAATGAGGCCCGTGGCTCTTTTGTAACACCAGAGGTAGCAGCACAACTATACCTATTACCACTGACAGGGCTGAATTTGTTATACGTGTAGTAGCAGGATGAAAGGAGAAAGAGTACCTCCCTACTGCTACTAAGTAGAGGGAAGTATTTCACAAAGTTATGGGAGCTGAGCAAGTACTAGAGGTAGCACTACTACTACTACTACTACTACTACTACTACTACTACTACTACTACTACTACTACTATTAGTAAAGGTTGCTAAGGTGAAAGATTACAAGTGCATTAAATGGGGGCATTTGTTGCCCTCAAAGTTTGGACATGTAGTAATCTTTGAATCAATGCTATCAGCAGTGGTGGAAGAAGTATTCCACATTATATTTATTTTCCTCTTCCTCTGTTCCTCAGTTCCTGTTTTTAATTCAGTACTTCATACATAATATAACTGTCAATAGGGGGGACTTGGAGAGGGCAAGTTTGGGAGTTTCATTTGTTTGTTTCTGTTACATTCAATTTGTATGAAAATGAGAAGTGCTGCTGGAGCCTATCCCAGCGGACACCCTGGACAGGTCGCCAGTCTATCACAGGGCTACACTTAGAGACAGACAACCAAGCACACTCACATTCACACCTACAGACAATTTAGAATCACCAATTAACCTCAACATGTTTTTTGGACCTTGTGGGAGGAAGCCGGAGAACCCAGAGAGAACCCACACTGCATGGGGAGAACATGCAAACTCCACGCAGAAAGATCCCAGTGCCCCCACAGGGACGCGAACCGGTGACTTCTTCCTTCCTGCGACACAACAGCGCTACTAACTGCGCCACCTTGCAGCCCTTTTCTCTTAAAGTGCTTGAGTGAATGTATTTAGTCACTTTCTATCAACGCTCAGTGATGACATTAGAAACAGTTCTAAAAAGAGTTCTAAAAGCACTAAAAAGTTGAAGAGTCAGTCACTGAAGCAGGTTTGTGTATCAATCAGTGGACCAGCAGGGCGGAATAAGTGCAAAATGTGCAGTGCTTGTCCGTTGATCAATAACAAGACTGCCAATATTGTGTAGCTTCAAGATCCATATGTCAGTGTGAGGCTCTGCTGAAACAGCGTGTGCACAGAGTGTCTTACAGTCGTTTAAGTAAAAGTTACAAACTTCTTGGAGTGGTAGTTTTTAAAGCAAGAAAGTCCACACCTACCACTACTATTAGTATTGCATGGTACAGTAGTGGCTATAGTAGCAATAAACATTACAGCATCATGAGGTGTGAGACGTACCAAACCTGCGACAGAACACTCCCATGACGGCGCTCTCCTCCACCACTCTCAGGTCAGCCAGCAGAGCCAGTTCCAGCCCTCCAGCCACGGCGAAACCACTCACTGCTGCTATCAGCGGCTTCGACAGCTGCAGACGGGAAGGGCCCTTGAGGAAACAACTGGATTCGTAAATCCAAACATACATGCGCATATACACACAAAAGCTAAATGACTACAACCAAAATGAAAGGGATGCACACTGTAAACAAGGCAGCAACTTGCAGAAGAAAACATTCTCAAAACTAAGTGTGTATATTTCGCTGTGTATATTTATATGTATGTTTTTACTATCCCTTTCATGTTTTTTTGCCTGTTTGCTTTGATTCCCATGGTTTATCTACTAAAAATGTTCCAGATTTCATTTCCTAATTCATTTCTCAAACTGTCAAACAGAAGGGGGAACAAATGATCCTCGTTCTGGCTACAGCTGAGCAAATGAGGCCCTGTGTATTCTGTAGGAGATACAATGCTATAATTTTCTGCACAGGAGGTCCACTCAATGCCAAAGACTTAACATGCAATCGTAATAGATTTTATGGAGGCTGAAGTTTTTATAGCCTATAGCACATCATTTGCGTTAGGTTTCTTACTCTTTGTCAAGTCATTAGAGTGTACCAAAAGAGAGGACATTCTGCTCGTGCACAACAACACAACTGAACTCACTGAAGCCTTGTCCTGATTCAACATCGTTTCCTGAAACTAAATCTTTACCATTACCTGTCTTCCCAAACCCCTAAAAATAAACAAAATCACTGCTGACCACACTTTCTGGTTTTGTATTTTATGGAAACCTTCAGTCCTCCTGAACATTATAAGAAAATATAGATAAAAAACCCTGGTAAGTGCACACATTACACACACACATACACACCCCAGACTCCGCTCACCATTGGACCGGGACCCTTAGTGACATCTTGCTCCAATTTGGGGGGGCCTGTGTGATTGGCCAGCTCTTTCAGATCATAACCAGCGCAGAAATTCCCTCCTGGAGGAGACCACAAAATTACAAAGTATGGCAGCTGGAAAGTCAGAGAGGAAGGGAAAATGATGAGGATGAAAAAAACAACAAGTTGAGCTGGAGTCTGAGGGCTGCAATTTGGATAGCGGCTTGCTCTGGGCTGGCTGGCACACACAAATGATTCTCTTCTCTAAAGAACCCAAATCCAATGCATAGGCACAGATCATGCATGTGCTCACACACACACACACAAATGTACATACAGTATATTCTCATTAATGGAGGAGTAACATATTGCAACCACAACCCCTTCCGTTGGATTCATGTGGTAATTACAACATTACCCAAGAGGTCTACAAACACTATGTCACAGGCTCAGGCAGGGACTCATAAAATCCTCCTCTCTCTGTAATGTAACAGTAATGAACACGATTGTAATGAACACGTGTCAGCAACACCCATCAACTGGGAGCTTTGATGACAGCCGTGGGTCAGTGCAGGGCAATTATAGAAAAACAGTGTGTCATGCTGTTTATGGGAGCAGCATTGTGACAGAGCGCCTTAAATCCCTTTGTCCTCATAGAGGAAATGAGCAGGAGCTATGGAGCTTCATGGAAGAAACGCACGCCATTATTTAGTCTCTTAAAGGAGGTTTGTTATTGAACTGAAAGGCCAGCAGAGATCGTCAATTTGCTTACAATGTGAGCACTGAGACTAAACTCTTACCAGGGGTTACAAGAAGTAGAAGTGATGCAGTTGCTGCCAGCAGCAAGAGAAATAAATGGGTGACTGAAGCATTGAGGCTTTAGAGGGATTTTTTTTAGGAGAATTATAAAAAATAACACATTTTGCCCATGCAAAACACTGTTTAAACCGTTTTCATATATTCTGCAGAAAGTCTAAGACCGAACCAAAAGCATTTGGACAGTCACGGTTGCCTTCAAGGGGTTGATCAATTTTTTTTCTAATTTTTTGTGGATTATATGCAAAATTTTGCTTCAAATCTTTTTACATAAACCAGAGGAAAAACATTCTTTGGTTAACCTGGTCAAAGCCACAGATGAAGAGTCACAAATTAGTCTGCTTTAGAGATTACAAGTCAGTATGCGACTACAGACTTTTTTCACTGACTTTTAAAGCATTTTGACATGTCAAAGTAGGAAAAAGTTTGATTCATTGCTGAAATAATAGTTTGGTTTCTTTAAAGTGGGGTTATACGAGGTACTTATCCATAAGCAGTGTATTACAGTAGATCATTATCCCCAGTTGGGAGAAGCAGACAGCAGAACTTACACAGAAGCGAATAGAAGCACTGGTGTGGACAAGATCAACAAAAAAATGTACAATGTATTTCAGCTACCTAAAAAAGGCAAGCTGATTAAACAACATGTGAATAAGCTATTTTCAGAGTATGTTCACTGCTTTACCTTGCCATCAGACAGGAACTCCTGTCCTCCTTGCTACTTCTCCAAACTTGATGGTTATACACTGACTGTGTATAAGTACCTCATATAGCCCCACTTCAAAGACCCAGAACTATCCCTTTAATGTTCATGGGAACACCTGTGCTTTACCTTCTATGACCAGTCAAAACGTCTGCTGCATTAAAGGGCCAATGCCTCATGCGCAAAGTCTGGTTCATAAAGAGGTGTTTTTTCCAGTTTGGTGTAGAGGAAACTGACCAGTCAGCACAAAGACCTAACCACAACCTCATCCAACACTTTGTGAGAAATGAGGACTTTTCTCTCTTGCGTTTTTTACTAGACTAACAAGGCCTTAAAGACGCTAAAAGCGTATTCATCTCTGTTTGGCTAAAAATGTACCTTTAGTGACACAGCTGCATTGACATGTATACCTGACCACAAACACCCGAAGAAATCCGAATCCCAAACACTCCAAATATGTCCCAGCATATTCAAAACCTGCTGAAAGCAATTATTCTTAATTTCATACGTTAAAAAAAAAACACTCCGACACTGAAAAATGGGAGCTGGGAGAGTGATTGTGTCTGTGCTAATTTGACCAAAATGGATTCCTTATGTTTGGAGAAACACTACATCCAAACTATAACCTCCCTGACGATGCAGACACTCGGCTGATCACCGCTGAAGGTCTGTCATCTTGCAATAGTCGAGCAGTGATACAAGAGAACCTGCTGACAGGAATGTGTGGTGGAACAATTAAAATCACATTACAGACATTTTGGGAATCGTCGAGGAGACACTTTCTGAAACTACCTACTGTGCCGCTAATTGCTAACCCATTTAATGCAAGCTAATTACTCTCTAACACACTGTTTTCAGTTCACAGCTGAGACTAGAGGCACCGGCAGCCATCGTCTGGAGAGACTCCAACCTCGAAAGCACCAGAGTATATACTTTGAGGCCACAGTGAACTTTATACAGCAGACAGGTTGATCCAGGCTGAAGACATTATTTCCACTGAGGGAAAGAGTTCATTCACTGTGTGTGATGATTATTTTTAGAAGCTTTAGGAGTTTTGGCATGGTTATGGACTTGGGTAGCTGACACAGTGCAGGCCACCTCACAGGTGTGTGTGTTTTGACTGTGTGTGCTCTTGTCTGGTCACCTCAGCGATTCGGCAAGATCTAAGCACTCCGGGGAGCAAAAGGTGGAAAGAAATACATGAAGAAGACGATTGAGGTAAGGTGGGCTGAGTGCGGATGATGGAGGTAAGAAAGAGATGAAAGGGCTGAGGAAAGATGGAAAGAAGTTGGAATAAAAAAAAATAATTACATTTTCAGTAAACATCCCATGACTTTTTTTGAACTATTTTAAAACCACTGTGATGATCTGAAATGTTTCTCCTGTCAGGTTTGCACATTTTCTGCACAAAAAAGATTAATAATAAAGGGCTAAAGAATCTGGTTCCCATAACTTATTAACCTTCTCTTCTCGAATTTGTTTGTTTGTTGCAATTCTTTACAGTTTTATTATCACTTTTTTACCACTGGTTGTGTAATATTCAAAATATGTGTAATATGGGATTGTGACTTGCTACATTGGCAGTTATAGGTGTGCAACAATTAGGTCCAAGACAAATTTTTCCAACAAGTACAATAAAGCATATCATATCGTACAGAAAAAAAAATAGATCTTGCTGCAGTATAGAAAACAAATCAGGGACATAATCCTTGTAAAACTACACTTTGGTTTTTGTACAGATTACAAAGCAACATGTAATGTCTTAATTATAGGATTGTGTTACCTTTGGTTTGGGGCAGGTTTGCCCACAGGCTGCTGACTGTAACTTCATATTTACTAAAGAAACTAATATTTACTCTGGTGTCAATCTCCTCCTACTTTCAGCAAGTAAGAAAAATCGTTTTAAGGTGTAACACTCAAAATTTCACAATATTTCAAAGATTTCCATGACCTGCTGTAAACCCGAAAAAATTAAGTACACAGGATGACTGACGCTCATCTGTTCAAAATTAGGTGCTGACGGGAAAGCGACTGAATCTCTGGCCTCTTTCCTGAACAACAGTAAAAAGCTAATTTTCGTTCCTCTATTCTGTACCTCACAATTCTCTTACCTTTCCCGTGCAGCACAGCCACGTTCAAGTCTGGGTCACTGTCAAAGGCCTGCAGCTCTTCCAGTAGACGCCGTGCTGTCTCCTGGTTCACCGCATTACGCATCTCAGGTCGGTTTATCACCACAGTAACCACGGATCCCCTTCGCTCTGAGACCACAGTCTGACCTGCAACTAATGACAGAGAATAAAAAAGATGCATAGATGGAAACCAATATGGACCACAACACTTAGAAAGAGACTGACCCAGAGACATTAAGCTTAAATCTCACAGCAGGGGGAACAGAGATGGAGCATAAATTGTCCTACGTGGACAGACTTGATAAAAGTAAGACCAAGAATGAGACAATGAAAGAGATGGTCTGGGCTGAGGTGAGGACCTTGGCTCTTGCTTTGTCCCAGTGTGTGTTTATGAGTGTGTGCGTCTGTGTGCCAGTGATTGCGGCTTGAGGTTGCAGCAGGCAGTTGACCTGACAGTGTTTAGGTTCATCCCAGGGAATCCAACTGTCAACCACACCCAGAGGCAACTGCATCTGAGAGCCAGGAAAACAAAGCTACTGGATGCATTAACCTCGCTCATGCAGCCTGTTCTATGGAGGATGGACTGTTGAACAAAACCCAGTGACGGGAGGCATAGCAAGAGGGGAAAAAAAAAAAAGAAGAAGCAATTTGTCACACACAGCACTTTCTACTCTGCTATATCTCAAACAAATAATTACACAGCGCTAGTACAGTTGCAAGGGAGTGGAACCACGCTTAACTACCTCTCGAGAGAGTTGTTTTCCATTGTATTTCAGTTACATTTCAGGACTAAAGCTGTAAGTCTGGGAACCACTCAGTAGGTTAAACTTTAGGACCACATTTTCAGTAGAATAACTGCCTATGATGGGGGTTTGTTTATTGCATTTCCAATAACAACAACAAAAGAACAATTTAAACTGAGAAAACTATTAAAAATTGCTCTGAATGATTTGTATATAAACTATACTGATACTCGCCTTAAGCCACTTGCCAAGGAGAAGGGTTGAAATTTTTCACATTTTCTATGACTTCAGGATCTACTTAGGATAAACTGAGATGGGAATTCATTTGTATTAGACATTAATTGGAGCTAAACTAATTGACAAAGCAAAAAATTAAAAAAAATACTAGGAGCAGCCCTGGTTAGGAAAGTGTAATTTGAGGTTCAACATTTTAAGACATAACAGAAGAAAAACTTCAAGTGAAACTGGAAATCACAGCCATCATAAAGACCCTCTCTGGCCTTCATAAAACACATAAAAACTCATCTCCTTGTATCAAAGTTACATATTTAGAAGCTTTTTTTAACATGAAAATAACCGTTTCTGCCTTGAAATGACTTTCATGTAACCCTACACTCACCCCTCTTCACTTGCTACAGCTCGAGCACACCACCTCACCTACGATTCTGCTTAAATGCTAAAACTACTCTACGCTACATGATGACAAGCTGTAATATTGGAGTAAGTCATACACGCTCAACCAGACACCAATTCTGAGGAAGAGCAATGATGCAGAAACTGTTGACCTGCAAGTTGATAGGATTGGTTCATTAGGTTTGTTACATATAAAACCTCTAAAGCCTTAATCCTCATTTTTAAAGCTGTCATTGGTATACTGCAGTTTCAAGGTGGAAATGCTTAGCCATGGCCTTGACTGTTTATTTCACTCATGATTTGTATTTGAGGATATAAAAACAAACATCAACAACAAAACATATAGACATGTTATGTTACCACGGTTAAAAAAAAAAGAGAGACTTGATTTTAACAGAGGGCTGCAAGGTGGCGCAGTTGGTAGCACCGCTGCCCTGCAGCAAGAAAGTTGCTGGTTTGTGTTCCAGTGGGGGCATCTTTCTGCATGGAGTTCACGTTCTCCCTGTGCAGCGTGGGTTCTCTCCGGCTTCCTCCCACAAGTCCAAAAGCATTTTGAGGTTAATTGGTGATTCTAAATTGTCCATAGGTATGAATGTGAATGAGCTTGGTTGTCTGTCTCTAAGTGTAGCCCTGTGATAGACTGGCGACCTGTCCAGGGTGTCCCCTGCCGTCGGCTGGGATAGGCTCCAGCCTCCCCCCGCGACCCTAGTGAGGATTAAGCGGTGTATAGATAATGGATGGATGGACTTCAAGAGAAAAACTCCAGCAACTGAAAAAAGATTTCTGGATCAGAACTGTTTTTTTCCCTCTTTTCTTCTTCCTGATGACCCCACAGATGTATCTGCTGTTCCTGTATGGATGGACTTTCACAGAGATGGTGTTGAAGTTTACCACTTTCAAAGCCTTGATGTTGTGTAGGCTGACTCACTTATGGGACCGACATCCCCCCCCACCCCACCCCATGTCTCACAGCAGACATGTTGACACTGCAGGTGAAACTTATTTCATTAAATGTCACAGTAAGTCCTCACAGTGGTCACCTGTGCTTTTCCTAATACAATATTTCAAAATGTCTGCTGTGAAAAAGGTTTATCACATTATTTCTGAAAACTAACTTGTTGAGGTTGTGAGAACTTACAAACGTAACTTACAAATGTGCACTAATTAACTATACATTTGTGTCTACTGTTTACTAGCTTGTTTTCAGAGCTTTAGAGCCAGCGTATCTCTATCAGACTGCATATAATACATTCTGTCTCTATGGCTGTCTCTGCTGCCTCCTACAGTCATAGTTACTGCTGGTTTCCACTCATACCTGTTCCTGTGTCTTCACCTCCATTCCCGGCACTGTAGGATTTTACTGCCAATAAAGTCGTCTTTACCGGCTGTCCAAATGTTGTACTTTGATATGCAGCTCCTAAAACTGGTGTCAACTTATGAAAATTTTTTAGCGCCATTGCCAACATTCTCTCGCAGCAGAGATTTACAAGCTCCAGAAAACAACCAACAAATTCTGCAGTAACGGTTGTATTTTTAAATATACATGCACTCATAAAATGTTTCGAAGCCAAATTTAAAATAAAAACAAAAAAAGCTGAATTTTAGTTCGTTGTCTTTACAAGCTAGCTTACTTCAAAACAACTTTAATACAGAGGTGTCACAGTTTTACGCTCCCTGACAGAAACTGAAACAAAAGCACAAGGTTCCGCTCGCTCACTTGGTGCATTGCAGTGGTAAAAACCGCAAACACACAGCAGAGGGCGAAATTGAGCCTTACTAAATCCACAGTTTCCCTCTGCAATGCAAGCAAAGGTTTTGGTGTCTTGTCAATAATGAGAGCAAACCCCAAATCACATGTTTTTTTTTTTGTTTTTTGTTTTTTGTTTTTTTTTAATAAAAGATTTCACTTGTGTGTTGTTTTTGTTTTACACATTTTAAGGCATCATGCACAAAAAATAAGCCATACTAAAGGCATTTTGCTTACCCTCTACCAAAAGTTATACGTTCTAACATTTGAGGATTTGCTGTTAAAAATAAGTTTATACAAATATGGCATGTAAGCTGGCATGTCAGTGAATCCCAAAGCAGATCATTGCCTGCTTTCACAGTTTTTGTAAACATGGCTTTGAGCAAAATAGGGTTGAGAAAAGTCAAGAGAAAGGGAAAGCATGCTTGAACATGGGGCTTAATTTCCCTGAAAAGCATGCAAATCATATTTACAATGCATTATTTTACTCTCAACAGAGATCTTTTTTTTTAATTGTATCAATTAAAGTTAAGACATTAAAAATGTTGTCAACATTAACAGACAGACAGACAGAAAGACAGATGTGTCCATGATATTCCCCTACCCAGAGTCCCCAACACAGACAATGTTCAGATTGGTCAACAAACAAAACACTACAAGATTTTTTTTTCCAAGCATTCGAGTTTTCTAGTATTAATTTTATAAATTTATGTGAAACAGTCCAACTAGGGCGAAACAATTAGTTTTTTAAAAAATCTTGTAGTGTCCACCATGGCAGACATCCGGGAGGTGCCGGTAGCTTTGGCACAGTTCTGTCCAGTTGTGCTCTTCTGTGGTGATCCGTGTGTGTTATACTATATTGAAGACCATGGAAAGATATTGTTCATATGAAACCTGGATCCAGCCATCCTGGTCTGTATCGTACCGCCTGAAAACGTCAGTCAACCTCTGCAAAAAACGACAGAAAGTAGTGCATTTATGCACAACAATAGCAAAAAAAAAAAAAGTCTGTTCTAAAGTCTTTAATATGAATAAACTGAACACTTTATCATTGTTTAGTATATTTGCTTAATTTGTCATTGTTAAATTGTTGTACCCAATCCTTCTGGAGATGCAGATTAATCAACATGAGACCATTAATTTAACTCTAGCTCAGACAAAAGTGCAAAAAAAAAATAATCTGAAGCTCCTGGTATAGTACTACCCTAAACTTCTTCAGGCTTCATTTACATTTGGCTGCCTCCATGGTAAATGTATGAAACAACTGAGAAGGAACAAATTGGCTCAAGTGGAACTTTTGCTAGAAATTCAAATAAAGGGTAAGACCCATGTGTTCTTAATAATGCATAATTAAAATTCCTCTTTGCATCTTATGAATACTAAAGTAGCCTTGTTGTGATGCAAGTGCTAAACTCCAGGACATCCTAGACACATGTATGTGCAAACAGCTGTGAAAAAAATGACTACTTTTATTACAGTATGAACAGCTTGTTAGAAACCAGCATGAACGTGTTACCTGTAGTACAATACAGCATTGGATGAAGTCATCAAAGGCCACCTGTCCCTTCCTCTGGCGGTCAAACTTGTCTATCAGAGTGCCGTAGAACTGGTCTGACAGACGATAGCCTACGCACAGCAACAAATACAACATCAACAATGTAGTCAAGGCATCTCACACACTCAGGCTTTAAAAGTCTGTGATAGGGGGAACACTCCAGAGGAATAAACCTGGATGATCACCTCTGGCTTTCAGCCCAGACCTCAAAGCATCCTGAGGTGAGGGGGGGGATGTAAAAACTCTTAAGTACATAAGGGACCTGGACAGGTAAAGACTTTTAAATGAACCATAACATTTCTAAATTGACTGTGGATGGCTTGGACAAGGGCTGCAGGGTGGCGCAGCAAGAAGGTTGCCGGTTCACGTCCCGGTGGGGACACCGGAATCTTTCTGCGTTTGCATGTTCTCCCCCGTGCAGCGTGGGTTCTCTCCAGGTTCTCCGGCTTCCTCCCACACAGTCCAAAAACATGTTGAGGTTAATTGGTGATTCTAAATTGTCCGTAGGTGTGAATGTGAGTGTCTGTCTCTAAGTGTAGCCCTGTGATAGACTGGCAACCTGTCCAGGGTGTCCCCCCCTAAGTCAGCTGGGATAGGCTCCAGCCTGCCGCGACCCTAGTGAGGATTAAGCGGTGTACAGATAATGGATGGATGGCTTGGACAACTACAGACTGACTGAGGCAGATGAACAAGTTGTGGCAGTAGCTGAGACACGTTTTGATACGGTTTGATTGAAGGCCTACTTTAGCATCAGAATAATACTTGACATCTGTTTCATTAAGACATTACCCCCACTTCAACTGATCATCAGCAGTACCAGCACCCTAGTAAACAGCACCATTGAATATGGGCCTTCTGACATTTATGAACATAGTTTTCAATGGTCTTCACGGATACTCCTGAGGACAGTTTTAGACCACACCCACACTGGATACAGAACCACATTTAGAAATCCTTGTTTATGTTGCCACTGATGTAGTACACAGGGAGATTTTAATTCACCAGTTCTTTAACATAGTAGTGGATACCAACCTGGATCTTCTATTTGCACTTGTGATATAATCATTTAGCAAATCCAAAACTCTTCTTCAGTTTTAAAATGGCCACCAGCATTCAATCAAAGATATAATGTGGCTGCTAAAGTCTTCATCCATCCATCCATCCATTTTCTATACACCGCTCAATCCTCACTAGGGTCGCGGGGGGGCTGGAGCCCATCCCAGTCTTCATCCAGTTATTTGAAATATTTACAGTCATTTAATTGCCAATTTGTCCTATAAAAGAGCAACTAATCCCTTAAAGCCTTGACATGGGATGCGTAGCATTGTTGCTTCATCAGTCTGTTAAAGTGACAGCAAGGTCCCTTTACATTAATGTTCCTGACTGCTTCATTCAGACAAACCCATCAAATTGATGCAGAGAGCTACAATACATGCATGATATTTGTTATTCACATGAGATGGGACAGAGCGTCAAGTCACGTATGACTCATAATAATGCACTAATAAGCAACAGACTAAATCTAAACTAATAGCAAGCTTATCGAACTGTTTCTAACAGTTCCGTTGATTTAATGATTTCCCTAATCCTGAAATTATGTCTATGTGGGATGTTACCCTAACCATTATTTTACCAATTGCAAAACAAAAAAATATCCCAACAGCTGATGTAACAAATAATTTACCTGCAGCTCATAAACAGTGACTTTGACAGTGTGAGTTGCTGACTGATATTGTCTCTGTGTCAGAAATAATTCTGATGGTTTTTATGAAGTTCCCACTAGTGTTGTTCCACATGTTCAACACTTTTTGTTTTGGAGACGCTTATGTGGATCTTGCTGCTGTCCAGATTCTGATGTTGCAGGTATTTAATCAACTGAGAGGAAAAATCCCTACAAGCAGCTGGAAGCAACAAACTAAATTTCAGCTCCTGTTAATGTCTTGTGTGGGGGAGAAAAAAAAAAGAGTGCATTCATTTTTGGTGAGCATTATTATTCTGAGCTGTTTTTACTGCAGTGAAGTTTTACTGTTATGGATTTTTCAGTTTGTAGCTCAATGGGCATGAAATTGTAGAGCAAAGTGAGTGAGAATGTTGTTTATGACACATTTTGGCACAAACTGGGTCTTTTGTCTTTTCTACTAGGTCCAAAATAGTGAGATCGCCGTCACAACTTTTACAGAAGAGTTAGCAGGGTGCACTTTCAGACATGTTCAGTCGCCATCCGATTAACGGAAAAGATTGCGTGTCTGAAAGGTGCTTTACCGTAAGCTCCTTAGAGCTGCTACACTATTTGCTGAGATTCTATTTTGTGAAATCATTGGTCTAAAACACTTTAATCCAATGAAGAATGGTTTTGGATTTGCTCAGTTATTCGCACTGCGTTGTAAATTGTAAGATACACGCCCAGTATAAAAGTGCAGCTGAATGAATGTTTATGTTGGATTTAAAGGTATTTACTACATGAGTGGCAAGTAGGAAATAGGGATAAAATTCAGCTCTATTCATAGACACACAGAGCTACTGAAAAGACAAAAACCTGACCTTCTGACCCGCAGAAAGCCAAGAGATAGCCACGGAGCCCTCCACCACTGCCATTGAATTTAAATATACAGGCATACTTTGCTGCTCACCGAATCCTGTCAGCGCCTGTTTCAGCTCATTCTTATCGATGAAGCCGGAGTTGTCCCTGTCGTAGGTCCTGAAGATGTTCTGCCAGTCTGTGATGTATTTCCACACACCAGCGAACTCATTGAAGTTCACACCGCCTTTGTTTTCCCTGTCAAACATGGCTAAAGAAGAGGGTTGACAATAAGGTATATGGTAAGAAACATCAATTACTCACACACTCACATATACATGCAGACATTTTTGGAAAAAGCTGGACTTTAGAAAACTGCTGGGACAAATTTGCTAACATGAGAGCCAGTCTGGTAGCACATACAGTTTTATGGGACTGTCGGGGAACAGTGGAGTTAACAGAGCGGGTCAGAGAGACTCACACTTGACTAACTCCTGCCTCATAAGACTGCAGTATAACAGAGAAAGAAAACAGCTTGATTTCCACCCCACCCCACCCCCACCCCACCAATACTCCTCTCCTCACCCGCATGCAGTTCAATCCAATTACCTCCCGACAAAGGGAGTGTTATCACAGGATATGCTTCTAGCTGTGGGACTATTAAACAATGGACTTGGTGTGCATGGTACAGGGGGAAGGGGAGGCGAAGGTATTTTTAGGGATTTACTGTGGAAGTCACACAACAAATGGGAAACGAAGTATATAAGGGGGATTGGATAAAGATATTTTTGACATACACTACCGGTCAAAAGTTTTAGAACACCCTAATTTTTCCAGTTATTTATTGCAATTCAAGTTGTGCAAGTCCAATGAATAGCTTGAAATGGTACAAAGGTAAGCACTGAACAGCCAGAGGTTTTAAAAAAAAGGTTTGGTTACACAAAACCGAAAATAATGTACATTTCAGAATTATACAAAAAGGCCTTTTCCAGGAAACACGAAGTGGGTTAACAATTTAAAGCTGTTCTGCAGCAATGAAGGTTGAAAAAGCCTTAAAAGCTGGTGCTACTAATTCCTACAGGTGGTCCAACTTTTCTTGATGACATACAACCCCCTCTGTCTCCATAAAAGCAGTGTTGGAACACACTATAGTACCAGACCCTCATGACCATCAGCTGAACAGTATTGTACTGCAGAAAGTAGTGTATTGCTACAAAAATGCCGAGAAAAAGGCAATTAACAATGGAAGAGAGACAGACCATCATAACACTTAAAGATGGAGGTCTTTCCTACAGGGAAATTGCAAAGAAGTCAAGGTGTCAGTGAGTACAGTTTTCTTCACCATCAAAGGGCACTCAGAAACTGGGGGGAAACTCTGACAGGAAGTGGTCTGGCAGACCCAAAGCCACAACTGAATCAGAACACGTTTCTGAGCATTAACAGCTTGCGTGATACGTGGCTCACAGGACAACAGATTCAAGCACAATTTAATAGTGGTCGTAGTAAGCAAATTTCAGTTTCAACTGTGAAGAAAAGACTTCGAGCTGCAGGTTTGACAGGACGAGTTGCAGCAAGAAAGCCATTGCTAAGACGTCAGAATAAGACAAAGAGGCTCTCCTGGGCCATGAAACACCGCCATTGGACAACTGAAGACTGGAAGAAGGTATTATGGACTGAGGAATCAAAATTTCAAATCTTCGCTTCATCACACAGGATCTTTGTACGTCGTCAAGTAGGCGAGAGGATGGTTCCACAGTGTGTGACATCAACTGTCAAACATGGAGGAGGGAGTGTGATGGTCTGGGGCTGTTTTGCTGGATCCAGGGTCCGTGACTTGCACAGAGTGAGAGGCACTCTGAACCAAAACGGCTACCACAGCATTCTGCAGCGCCATGCAATACCCTCTGGTATGCGCCTAGTTGGTCAGAGGTTCATCCTACAGCAAGATAGTGACCCAAAACACAAGTCCAAGCTATGCTAAAACTACCTCAGGAAAAAGAACAAGATGGTAAGCTTGAAAACATGGAGTGGTCAGCACAGTCTCCAGACTTAAAGTCCATTGAGCTGGTTTGGGATGAACTAGACAGGAGAGTGAAAACCAAGCAGCCTACAAGTGCCACACAGTTATGGGAACTTCTACAACAGACTTGGGAAGAACTTTCTGAACAATATTTGATTTCTATTGTAGAAAGAATGCCACGAGTGTGTTCAGCTGATGTATCTGCCAAAGGTGGCTACCTTGATGACTCAAAAGTTTAGAATACATTTTGGTCTATAAATTGATTCCATGATTTATTTTTCAACTCAAATTGCTTATTTGTTCTATGCTTTCATTTCAGAATGCAATGACACAATAAACTGAATAATTTTCAGTAAAAAACTGGAAAAAGTGTGGTGTTCTAAAACTTTTGACCGGTAGTGTATTTGTATTTGAACTACAGCTGGAGCATGACAGGAAGTTCCACTCCGGTTGGTGATTCAACCCCAAAAAATTCATGTCCATGTATCAAAGTTACATGAAAACCCTACATCTCTCTCTCTCTCTGCAGCTCAAGCACACCGGCTCATCTGTGAGTCTGCTCAAACACTTTAACTTGAAGCTCTGCTATATAATGGCAAATTGTAATATTTTAGAAATTTAGTCACACGTTTGATCTAGAAACTAATTCTAAAGAAGTGTAATGATATGGAAAGCCTCACCCTGCAAGCTGACAGGCTTTAGGTTACTTATGTAAACCCCAGAAATTGGAATCTGTGTTTTCAGTACACCACAATTTCAAGGTGGAAATACTCCGCTATGGCGCTGACCTCAAACTTTACTCATGATATGTCTGCCAAAATATGAGGTGTGTCAGAAAAGTTCCAGGACTGATGTCACAAAAGATATATTTCAAATCCAAACTACAAACTTCAAGTTTCCCCTTCAGACGATCAACCAGCATGTCTACAAAGAGATCCCGCTGCGTTTGCTTCTTTCAGTGCGCGAGAAGAGGCGAGAGTTGTGGCAGGGCAAGTCGTGGCTGCTTCCACATGACAACATGCCTGATCACAATGCCCTGAGCATCCGACAGTTCCTGGCTGAGAAGAACATCGTCATGCTGGAGCAACCTTCCCTACTCACTCCACCTGGCTCCGTGTGATATCTTTCCTCTTCCCCAAGCTCAAAGGTGTCATCAATGGGACCGGTTTTGAAGACTTGGATGACATCAAGACGGCCGTGACGACAGAGCTGCGGAGGATTCCGAAAGAATCCTTCCAGGAGTGTATGGCAGCGTGGTGGAGAAGGCTGTGAAGGGTTAGGTTAGACTCCAGGGGGATTACTTCGAAGGGGAAAATTTGTAGTTTGTAGTTTGAATTTGAAATATATCTCTTGTGACACCAGTCCTAGAACTTTTCTGACACATCTCGTATAACATCACACCATATGGACATGCTAGCAATATAAAAAAACTAGATCTTTATGTTGACCCCTCTCAATGCCTTAGTATTGTGTATCCAAACCTGACCTCATTTAATATAATTAAATGTGCCTGTACTTGTTCTGTTGACCCCTCAACATGTCTCACAGCAGACATACCACATGGGCACACTACCAAGGTGAAAAACTAGATTTTTGCTGGAGTGAGTTTTAAAATTTTGCATTTCGCAAAATCTAAAAGAGAAACATATTCAAATATTCAATTTCGTTTACATGTGTGTCCTTAACGCTGAAGAGTTTTTATCCTCAGCTGCATATTACAATTGTCTTAAAAGTGTAAACAGATCAATATCTGTAGTCTGAGGCAACTGGCAGCTGCCCTTTGGGAGTTGCTTTCCCATTTCCTTGCAGATGCTCCCTCTTCCTCATTTTATATTGATGGCTGCAGGTTTTCACTAGAGCAGCAGTTCCTAAAGCAAAAGTTTGTCTGTCCGTGGCCTAAGATTGCACAACTATAATGAATTAATCCGGTTGTCATGGCAAGGGAGCAAATAAACAGCTTAAGAAGTGTGAGCACAAAAGGCAGCTATGTGATGGCTGGGTGCGTCACAGTCAGCAGTTACTTACATATGATGGAGCGGACTGTCACTGGGTTAAAAGGAGTCCATGTGCCTGTGGAACAGAGGAATGTTGGTTAAAAACATACCAATAGCATCTACTGTTACGTCCTCTATCTAGCTGTTAAAGAAACAAAGGGCACTGTGATGAAATATCACAAATAAGACAGAAAACAGGCTTTAACCCTTTCAACACTAAGAAACTTTGGCTTTGATTACTAGGAATATCAAATCAAATCAACCTTTATTTATATAGCACTTTTCATACATGGAGCAACGCAAAGTGCTTTACAGTATTAAAAACATTGTCAAAGAAAGAAAAAAAGAAAAAAAAAGGAAAGAAAACCATCCCCCACACCTTCCATGTATACACATATACATATAGCTACGCATACAAAGGCACAGAGACACACAATCACGCACACAAACTTTCACACATATTCTGGTCAGTACTTACAAGAAGCAGACACACGGGGTACTGTTTCAACCCAACCGGGTTCCAGACTTTAATAACACTTTCGGCGTGTGTTGTACATTCAACTCGGGCCGTGTCTCAATACTCAAGTACGCAAGTCCATACTTGCGTTCTCGCTAGTCCGTACTCACGAGTACAGTCTAGTTAGTACGGGAGAACGCATTGCCATTTATGTGCAATTGGGACAGCAGCGTACTCAATGACGTCACCACCTCAGCTCATCTACTCTGATTATCTTTACCATGAAAAACAACGAAATTAAATGAAATACAATAACACAGCTCTGCTGAATATATATATATATATATGTGTGTGTGTGTGTGTGTGTGTGTGTGTGTGTGTGTGTGTGTATACATGTTGAGGTTTCTGAGGTCGTTATACAATCTTTACTGAAGCCGTTAATTTTTTGACAGCAGTGTCTGATCAACAGGTCAGATGTTGGAGGAAAATGTAATTGTGGCTTCAGCGATTCATATCAGACCATTCATCTTTGGAATACAGTTGAAAATTTTTAATTGCAAAAATACTTACATAGACAAGAACTATATCTTATAAATATAACTATTAATAAACAGGGTCATTTATTTAAATAAGATTTCATTTCATAGCAGGACAAAAGTCTCTTACAAAACATATCACAGATGAAAAACGTTGTGGCTCTCCACCTCCTGATGTTCTTTAGTGGAGCTGGAAACAGCATCATGCTGCTGAAGATGCTCCGTCAGAAGGTCCAGGATGGAGCTGCTTTTGTTCTGGGGAGTCTCCCAGCAGTCAGGGAGGACGTTTATTCAGCTGGCCCTCCAGTAAAACATTGCTTAAATGTTAATTAGTAACAGTCATCTTGTTTACGAGTGATGGGAAAATGGAGCGCGAGTGGACAGGCTGCTCAGTCAGCAGTAATGCGGGCGCTGCACTGGACCGTCGTGGTGAAGAGAGAGCTGAGCCGCAAGGCGAAGCTCTCAATTTACCAGTCCATCTGCATCCCAACCCTCACCTATGGTCATGAGCTTTGGGTCGTGACCGAAAGAACGAGATCGCGGACACAAGCGGCCAAAATGAGTTTCCTCCGCAGGGTGGCTGGGCTCAGGCTTAGAGATAGGTGAGGAGCTCGGACATCCGGAGGGAGCTCGGAATAGAGCCGCTGCACCTGTACATCAAAAGGAGCCAGTTCAAGTGGTATGGCCATCTGATTCGAATGCCTCCGGAGAGGCTTCCTCTGAAGGTCTTCGGAACACGTCCACCTGGGAGGAGACCCCGGGGCAGACCCAGAACCCCCTGGAGAGATGATACACTCCTGATCAAAATCTTAAGATGAGTTAAAAAATTGCATGAATTTGCATTTTGCACTGTTGGATCTTAGGAAGGTTCTAAGTGGAGCTTCAAGATGCAAAAAGAAGACATGGGAACAAAAGACCAAAAGTTGTGAGCAGGCAATTTATTGAAAACAACAATTTAACTCAAATAGGCTGTTCATCAGCTGATCAAAAGTTTAAGACCACAGCTCAAAAAAAATCAAAAACCTCCTAAAGCAGAAACTAAACTTTCCAAAACTGACTCATGTAATGAGTAGCTCCATCATTGTTGTTGATCACTTCAAAAATTCGTTTTGGCATGCTTGATGCAAGTGTTTCCAAAAGGCTAGTGGGAATGTTGCTCCAAGTGGTGAAGATGGCTTCGCGAAGGGCATCCACTGTCTGGAACTGATGTCCATTTTTGTAAAACTTTCCTTGCCATCCAGCCCCAAATGTTTTCAATTGGATTATGATCAGGGGAACATGCAGGATGGTCCAAAAGAGTGATGTTATTCTCCTGGAAAAAGGTCTTGGTCAGGCGGGCATTGTGAATTGGAGCGTTGTCCTGCTGAAAAACCCAGTCATTACTACACAGACGAGGGCCCTCAGTCATGAGGGATGCCCGCTGCAGCATCTCCACATAGCCAGCTGCTGTTTGACGCCCCTGCACAACCTGGAGCTCCATTGAAGGAAAAAGCACCCCAGATCATGATGGCGCCCCCTCCACTGTGCCGCGTAGAAAACATCTCAGATGGCATCTCCTTGTCATGTCAGTACCGTTGGAAGCCATCAGGACCATCAAGGTTACATTTTTTCTCGTCAGAGAATAAAACTTTTTTCCACCTTTGAATGTCCCATGTTTGGTGCTCCCTTGCAAAGGCCAAACGGGCAATTTTGTGGCATTGAAGAAGACGTGGCCTTTGAAGATGTTTATTGTTTTTGAAGCCCTTCCTTCGCAGATGCCGTCTGATGGTTATTGGGCTGCAGTCAGCACCAGTAATGGCCTTAATTTGGGTCGAGGATCGTCCCGTGTCTTGATGGACAGCCATTCGGATCCTCCGGCTCAGCGCCGGTGGGATTTTTTTTGGGTCTCCCACTTGACTTTTTTTGTTCCATAACCCTGAGGATCTTTCAAGAAATGCAAAATGACTGTCTTACTGTGTCCAACCTCAGCAGAGATGGCATGTTGTGAGAGGCCTTGTTTATGCAGCTCAACAATCCTACCACGTTCAAAGACGGTGAGCTTTTTTGCCTTTGCCATCAAGAGATCTTCACAGTGTGATTGCTTGACAGGAAATGACATGGAATCTAAATTTTTGCACAGATTTTGGCTTTTAAAGGCTGTGGTCTTAAACTTTTGATCACCTGATGAACAGCCTATTTGAGTTAAATTGTTGTTTTCAATAAATTGCCTGCTCACAACTTTTGGTCTGTTGTTCCCATTTCTTGTTTTTGCATTTTGAAGCTCTACCTAGAACCTTCCTAAGATCCAACAGTGCAAAATGCAAATTCATGCAATTTTTTAACTCATCTTAAGATTTTGATCAGGAGTGTATCTCTTAGCTGGCCTGGGAACGCCTCAAGATCCCCCAGGAAGAGCTGGAAAGCGTCGCCGGGGGGAGGGAAGTCTGGAATGACCTGCTCCGCCTACTGCCCCCACGACCCGACCCTGGATAAGCGGAAGAGAGAGGATGGATGGATGGATGGATGGATGGATGGATGGATGGATGGATGGATGGATGGATGGATGGATGGATGGATGGATGGATGGATGGATGGATGGATGGATGGATGGATACTGTATCACCACATACCAATTCAATGATCTGGTTTTGCTGATTTTTTCTCACTTCATTATCTTGGGATAACAAATGACGATAATGTTAATTTATAACATTATTTTAATATGTGGCCCAATTTACGTCCTCTCCATTTTTACAATGTCAGTTTGTTTTTCTTGCTTAGACAAACATTTTGAAAAGGCCTTTCTCACATTTTCAGACACATCATAGTAGGAAAAGCACATATTTGTAGGAGTCGATAATAACTACTGTCTCACATTTTATTCCAGTCTGTGGATTGTTGTGTAGCGTCCTGAAATACTCCTCTGTGGAACAAAAGACTGACCACTGGATGTATGTTGCTTTCTGCAAATGACCTCACTATGAAATGCTCCACATTTAACAGAGGAGAAATTTACCACTGTGAAGCTCTACACCTGTCTGTGATGATGAAAAATGAGGATCATCAGTTAAATCTCAAGTGTATCATACAGGGAGCAGTGGATGAGTGAACGAGGGAGTGATTCTGGACACGCCTTTTCGCGGCAGATGTTGACTTGTCAGGAAAAGCTCGGGTGTACTGATAACGTTAATGATGGTTCGGCTGCATTTAATTGTCCAAGTAAGCGAAGTCAAGAGCTCGCAGGCCCTGAAACCGAACACCAAAATAGAAAGCAGCAATCATTAGTGTCATTGCTTACATTATTATCATTACTAATCCACTGTGCTCGTCCTGTAATGACATGTCAGACTGTCTGTCACGAGGAGGATCTATCATGCATGGTGGCTCACTGTCACACTATCAAGGTTTATCAGGACACATGAACAGAACGGAGCCATTATTAATGCTATTAATTCCACCTGTACTTCTCCCGCTGCAACAAACCAAAATAGCTGCTGTGACGAAGACCTATCCTAAAGGTAAAAACATGTTAAATTAGGATCAGGGAAAAAAAATACGATGACAATCTGTTTTTTTTTTTGTTTGTTTGTTTGTTTGTTTTTGTTTTGTGTTTAATGCTAGTGACAGTAAGTCTCATCCAAAGACATTACATTACACATCAGAATCAATGGAAGCCTGTGCAAGAATGACAAAATAAGGGACATCCTGTATGATATAACTTTGATCTGCAAGATGTGTCAGAAAAGTTCCAGGAGCGGTGTCACAAAAGATATATTTCAAACCCAAACTACAAGCTACGAGTTTCCCCTTCAGACGACCAACCAGCATGTCTACAAAGAGATCTTGCGGCATTTGCTTCTTTCAGTGCGCGAGAAGAGGCAAGAGTTGTGGCAGGACAAGTCGTAGCTGCTTCACCATGACAACATGTCTGATCACAATGCCCTGAGCATCTGACAGTTCCTGGCTGAGAAGAACTTCGCCGTGCTGAGCAACCTCCCTACTCACCCCACCTGGCTCCGTGTGATATTTTTTCCTCTTCAAGGGGGTCATCAAGGAGACCCGTTTTGAAGATGTGGACAACATCAAGATGGCTGTGACGACAGA